ACATAAACAGCTGTGGGATACTGTTTGTCCGTGATTTGAACCGGGGAACAAATCGTGGCAGGATCAGCCTGATATTATTTGTATCCCACTGTAACTTTACTGTGTAAAGAGCTAACATCTCCAAAATTTCAGGAGTAGTTGGTCATTACAAGAAGTGTTTGTGAACTAAAAATCAAGAATGTGGGATCCTGTTTGTCCGTGATTTGCTCCCGACGCAGGGAAAACCAATTTTGCAGGGGAGACCTACCTCGGCACTTGTGCAGGTGAAGCCAAAGGAAGATATGCTTTACCATATTTTCTAGTCTTTGGCTTAGAATAAAGTTGGTTTGGAAGCATATTCAGCGATGCTTCATCTCCTACTTTGCGTTTGTCTATGCGCCCCGTGCTAGCAGTGTCCAAGCGTTGTTTTGTTTTTTCCCTTTTCATGCCGCGCCCCCCCTGCAATGGCTCTGCGCCCCCCCTAGGGGGCGGGCCCCACACTTTGGGAAGGTCTGACTTAGAGAATGTGTTTTTATGTAAAGCAAAAACTGGATTTTGTTCCTTATGAGCTCCACAGTGCAGGGGAGACAACTGTTATGGCAGGAGTCCACTTAAATGTTAATATCTCCTCCTGCTGCTGTCTCCTTTTCTATCCATGGATGATCACTGACAAGGTGATTTTTGCCTGCAAACTTTTACTGGAAGATGGAAAGAAAACAAAGCTGTAGAGACCAAATAAGTGGAATAAGATACCAAAAAATGATTAAGACCCTGTTACAGTATGACACTATCAATATTCGGATTGATCCACCCACTTCTGCAGGGATTCAACGTCCGAGTGAGAGAGTGTAAGAGGGTTGAGCCTTATCGGAAGAAGGGTTAACAGCCTGTCGCTCAGTTCTGTGCTGGAGACGAACGAACTCTCAGCTCAAGCTTTGTGTCCCGGACGCGGCCAGCTGCACACAATGATCCCCATCGCCTTCTGCACTCCAACTATGCGCAATTGCGCTTTTTTCCGAGGTTTAAAGCTTTTTCAGAGGCCATGGACACGCCAGCCTGGACTAACTGCATCCACTCGGTGAGTGAGCCGTGGGAGGTAAAATAAGAGAAAGCGCCTTCGCTTCAAAGCAAAGCTCCTGGGCGGGGGTCTTGGAATTGGAAGTGAGTAAACGCCCCTAAAAATAGCATCAACCGCAGAAAAACTAATGCGCTCGGTGGTATGTTAAATAACCACCAAGAAACATCCGTTTGTATCGACTTAAAAGTTGTTTTTCCGTCTGCAGAACTCACCCCCAGGATTAGTGGTCTCGGGTCTAGCGTTGAGCAGGCTCAAGCTCGGCTATTTTGTGCGCAGATTTTGCAGCTAAAACTGTTAACAATCAGAAGCAAATCAGAAAACTTCACGAATCCCTGAGGAAATTCTGTGGTCACAGTCCAGGATTTTGGAAACGGCGATAATACAACCCATAGCAAAGTGTGCATTATTGCAGTGTGTGTTGTTGTTGCTTTAGATGGAGAAGTTGTGTGGAGAGATCAACAGGCAGGAATGTTTTCCTGTGGTTAGGTGGTGCAGCAGGTCATGGAGATCAAAGAAACTGAAGAAAATCTGTTTTCACAATCACGGATATCAACATTATTTCCAAGTATTTCCATTGTGTAAAGATGCAGATCACCGTGTCCACCTCTT